AGAGAACTAAGTTGCCATTGCAAAAGCTAGAAGCCAGAGAGAAACTCTGCCATCTTACTCTGAGAGGTCAGGAGAACAAGTGCTGGGCAATTGAGAGACTGAACACATTCAGGTTCCAACCAGCCAGAGTGAAGAATATGCTAACCATTCAGTACAGATCTCAAAATGTCCAGGCTTTAGAAATAGGGTCAATTTATTCCTTGAATAAATGTTGCTTTGACATATGCTAGAAGAAAACTGATAAACAATAGAATCCAAAATTTGTCTGGTATTTCCTATCCAACTGTACCAAATACTAAATGGTAGGAAGGTTTTCCTTTCTGAAGCACACCAGCTAGAAATGAAGGAAAAAAGTAAGAAGAAGAATATTGCAGGGCCAGCAGGTGGTGTGGTGGTTTAGACACTGGATTCTCACATGGTTTGAGTCCTGGACCCAGGGACTTGAAAAATTATGATAAATAAATTCCTATTTTTTTTAAAAAAAAAAAAAGGAAGAAGAATTTGTTGTGATGCCTGATATACTCAAAGATCTGAAAACCAATGACTTCTTATGCCACAAGGAGGGAGCCATCAGACATTATGTACCTATTGGTGGGAGAATATTCTAGCATCTATGAAGCATTCTTGTCAAAAATTTTAAAACATTTTTAAAAATTTAAAAATTTAGGTACAAACATGAATCTGATTAATCTCCTAAACACAAGTACCAATTTATAGCAACTTTGAAAGAAAGACCACAATAAGTGATGCTACATGGATATTTATAAATATCCAGATTCTTGGAAAAAAGACAAAGATGCTGAAAGGAAAAAAAAAAACATAAAGGAGAACCTATAGATAAAAAGCAACTTAAGAGACATGAACCAACTGTATGAACCTTATTGAATATAGTCCTTATTCAAATATTACAATTGAAAATGTAAAATGGGTGAAATATTAGGTATTAAAACATTATTCATATATTGTTTCAGATGTAGTAGTGATGTTGTGAACTGTTTTTGTTTTCATTTTTTAATTGTCAGAGGGCATATACACTCACAAGAAAAAGAGAGAGAGAGACAGACAGACCAACAGAAAAAGAGAGGAGAAAGCACCTCCCAGTGGGGAGCCTCACACTTTAATCCCTTCTTTACTTCTCCATCCTGTTGAGAGCCGTGGCACACACATGTGCACACACACACACACACACACACACACTGTGTTTCTCAAGCCACCAGGGCCAGGATTCAAACTGTGATCAGTCATGTCAGATCCAGCTTCCTCAGCCACAGTCTATAGGGTCAACCTGTGAACTAGAATTTGAAAAGATTCATCTTTTAGTAACACATCTGAAATATTTCTATATAACCTGATGTGATGTCTGTGATTTTGCTTCTAAATAACTTGGTGGTAAGGAGAGTGAGATTAAGTGACAGTAAAAAGAAATCACTTTCCTTGGCAGTAAGTTCATAAAGATAGAAGTTGGATGATCAGTGATAGAGAATTATTTTACCTTTATATTTTTGGATTCTTAAATTTCTATTAATTTTTTAATGATGCTTTCTATTTCTCTATGAATGTCTCCTGTCTTTTCACTAATTGTGAACATATTTTCATTTCTATCCTTGAGCTCTATAAAAGCTGCTTCTTCCCACATCTAACTCATCTCAGGTTTGGTCTCCATTAATTTTTTCTCTTGATACACATTTCTGTTTCTTTTTTTAATCTTAATCATTGTGATAATACATCAAGAGACTGCAATTCTCTTAGATTCTGCAGTGTTCCTCCAAAGTATATTATTTTCAGGGTTTTTGTTTGTTTGTTTAATTTTTTTAAATTTGTTTGTTCTGTTTTGTTTTGCTTTGGCACATAGCACCTTGCCTGGACAGAAACTTCACACTGTGAACTTGAGCTATTGGTTCTGTTAGCCATAGTTGGATTACTTCTGCCTGTTCCATGCATGTGTAATTCAGCCAGAGATTTGGGCAAGTTTATGTGCAAATTTTAGGCTCTCTGTATGTGTCTCTATTCCCTTGTCTCCTGACTCACTCCACAGTTGTCCTGATACCTATTCTTCAGAGCCAGAAAGATGGCAGGGTTTCTTTCTTTTTCACATGGTGTCGACTGGGCCCTGCGCATGGTTGAAGCTGTAAAACTTAAGAAATGTACCCAATGTCATTCCATCCCCATCATATATTGCAAGACTTTTTCTTTTTACCTCATGCTACAGAGATTTCAGGTAGCTAGTTTTTATATTTTGTTTAGAATTTACAGTTAGTTGTCATTTTCGGATCAGCAGATGGAGTAATGTTTATGTCACTGGACTCACACATAATTGATTATAGTTCAAGTCCGAGACCTGGTGGCTGAAAACTCACACCAGACAAGTGTGCATGTGTGCCCAGAATCCCAAGAGGAGAATGAAGAAGAAGGGATTGTGGCGTGGCCATCCCCCGTGGGGGTGATTTCTCACTTTCTGTCTCTCTATCTCTCCAGCGAGCACACGTACCCTACAGCAAAAAAAAAAAAAAAAAAGGCTTAAAATAAATTCCCAAAACAAAATACTAGAATTGCTGTTTGTCTGAAAGAGCTCCTTAGTCGTTACTAGAAGTGAAAACTGTTCTTCAAATACTGTTGTATTTATTTACAAATTTCCCATAATAAAAGGTTGAGGAAATAGACAGAATGAACAGAGGGATTGGAGATGGGGCATATAAACAACTTTTTTAAGGAGATTTTCTGAAAAGGAGGGAGAACTAAAGTTGAAGCTAGAAAGTTGGGATGAAGAGGCTTGTAACTGTTACCCATGTTGGGGCATGTTTGGATGCGACGGGAATCATCTATCAGCTAGGAAAGGATTGCTGAAGCAAGGGACAGGAGGGATACCTGAAGAATAGCCCTAGGTAGACCGGAGAGGATGAGCTTGAGTGCACAAATGAAGGGGCTGGCCATGGATCGAATGTGCAGTAATTAGAGGAAAGATGGGGTATATGGCAAGGAGGGAGGTCAGCAAATGGAGAATGAGGGTGTACAAGGGATCTGACTTCTGCTGTTATTTCAATGAAACAGAATATAACACCAGGAATGAAGAAACTTATTTTAAATCTCTCACCTGCAGAATAACAAAATCATCTTAGCCTTGGAGATATAGTCCAAAGTTGCCAGGGTAAGTAAGCAGAAAATAGAGTGAAAAAAGTACAAAAATATTAAGTGACTCATGACTGATACTTTTCATAGATTCAACAGAACAAAGAAGCTGCATGCATGCTAAAGAAGCAAAATTTGTAAGTACGTATTTAGAAGACTTTTATCCAGTCTTTCTTTCTTTCTTTCTTTCTTTCTTTCTTTTTTTTTTTATTAAAGATTTTGCTGTTGCTATTTTCAGACATCTGGTCATAATAGTGTTAGCTACTCCAAAGTGAGGTTGTTTGTAGCAGAGCATGTAAGGACTAGGGCATAATTGGAAGAAAGTTTCACATACTTCTGAGCAACCAATGAGTCAAAAAGTTATAATAGTTGAAAAATGTAAAGCATACTTAAACAAAGTAAATATGAAAAAACAAAATACTAATAAAGAACCACTTATCAAAATGCATAAAACGAAGCAAAAGCAGACTTATATGAGCTTTAATGTGTATATCAGAAAAGAGGAAAGCCACAATGAATAAGCTAAACATTCTAAGAAACTAGAAAAACAAAAACAGAATATGCTCAAAGAAAGTACAATGAAGGAATTAAATATTGAAATTGAAATCATTATAGTTGTCCATTAGTATTAGGGGGGATTGGTTCCAGGGCCACCTGAGGACACCAAAAATCCTGGGATGCTCAAGTCTGTCATATATTGTTTGCATCTAGTTGGACCCTAACCTTAATCCAAACCTCCCATATACTTGAAATCCTCCTATATACTTTAAATCATTTCTAGATTACTTATAATACCTAACACTATGTAAATTTTGTATAAATAGTTGCTATGCTTGCCTAAGTAATAAAGACAAGAAAAAGTCTGTACATGTTCAGTACAGACAAAAAATTAAAAAAATATTTTCTAGCTGCAGTTGGTTGACTCTATGGATGCAGAACCTGTAAATGTTTAAACAATACGGTAAAGAATAATACAAAAGTTAATGCTTTGAGAAGATATTGAAAAATCTTCTAACCGATATTATACCAGCATCCCTGACCAACAAATAAGGCAAGAAAAAAAATTCAGATGGTCAAGAAAAATAACCACTATTATTCACATATGATTTGACTGTCTATACGGAAAACCTAAAGGACTCCATGGACAATTTATTGAACTTAGAATTAATAAGACAGTTTAGCAAAATTGCCTGGTATAAGCCTAACATATAGAAGCCTTACTATAAATCATGCAAAAACACCTTAAAATACGACCATATGTGAAACTACTTAAAATAGTAACAAAAGTAAAATCCATCAAGGAGTAAAAACAAAAATGTTCAAAATTTTTATTTAAGGACATTAAAGAAAATCTACATAAATGTAGAGACATCATATTCCTGGATTGGAAGATTTTATATTTTAATGGTGTTAATTACTGAATGGAGTCAATACTATTTCATTCTACCAGTTTTTCATAAAATCAGATAACCTCATTCTAAAATTTTTATGTACAAGCAAAAGATCAAGAATAGCTAAAACACTTGAAATGACTTTCTCTGCTAGAAGTCAAAACATATTTTGAATCTACAGCAGTTAACATAGTATCAATTAAAGAACAACCCTCTGGGGGGCCAGCAGTTAGCGTAATGGTTATGTCGCTGGACTCCTACGTAGTTGACCGCGGTTCGCGTCCCAGACCCCATGACTTAAAACCCACACCAGGCGCTTGTGCGTGTGTGCCCAAGATCCCGAGAGGAGAATGGAGGAGAAGGGATTGCGTCGTGACCATCCCCCCTGGGGGGTGATTTCTCGCTTTCTGTCTCTATGTCTCTCTCTGTCTGTCTGGCGAGCGCACGCGCCCTATAGCAAAAACCTCTCCAAAACAAAGAACAACCCTCTGGTTCCCTTTTCTATTGGATCTGAACCCTGGTCTTGGTGGTGGTTGTAAAAGAAAGGAAAGCAATACTAAAGCTGACCTCCGGTGGTGTAGTCTGGCTACACTGTGGGGCTGGTTTCAGACAATCCTCCAGCAAGGTTGAGTTCTGGCCTTGTTTCTTCCTTAGGGTGGCGTAGGTTAAAATGGTTGGTCCCACAGGGCTGACAGGGTTCCTCACTATCTGTGGCTGACTGTGGCCTCCACTGAGTGTCACACCCATTGGAAGGGATCCAGCACACCTGCTCACCTCTTGAGGGCTTTTTCTTTGTTTTCTAGGTCTGTGTTCCTATGTGTGAGTCAGATCTAAAGACCTGAGAAACGTAGGAAGGGGCAGCAGAAGGAAAAGCAGAATTTCTGGTGGAAACAGCTATAAGTGGCCAACAAAAAAGATATTAAAAAAAATCTAGCCAATATTATACCAGCATCCCTGACCAACAAATAAGGCAAGAAAAAAAATTCAGGTGGACAAGAAAAATAACCACTATTTATAAACAAACAAACAAGCAAACAGCAAAACAGAAGAGTGGGAACACAATTACAAAATACGGATATCTGATATATGATAAAGCTTTTTATTTCTTTATTTTTTGGAGAGATTTTTGCTATAGGGAACATGCACTTACCAGAGAGAGAGAGAGACAGACAGAAAGCGAGAAATCACCCTTTAAGGGGTATGGCCTTGCCACAATTCCTTCTCCATTCTAGTCTTGCAACCCCTTCTCCTCCATTCTCCTCTCCTGCACAAACCTGACCAGTGTGTTTCAAGCAGCTGGGTCGGGAACTCAAACTCCATTACATGGGAGTCCTGCAACATAACCATGACAACTACCTGCTGGTCCCAAAGCTAAGATTGTTAATCTTTGAGGAAAGAATAGACAAAAATTTGGGTAGTGAGAATTGACTATCCCTATAGAGGAAAAATTATTCCTACCTCATATATATACATAATGAAAAATAAAATCCATATGATTCAAGGTCACAGGCGAAATGAAAAAAAAAAAACACTGTTTAGAAGAAAAGTAGAGAAAATATCTCAGGGTTGGTAAGGATTTCTTAATAACACATGAAAAATAAAAACCATAAAATGAAAGACAGATAAATAAAAATCTTGACTTTTGGATTCTCTTGAAAAACAGGAGGATCAGAAAATACTGAGCTTATATTCCTTCGGGCCAGAAACTAGCTGGGGTTGTATGATTCTCTTTCATTACTCTTTTTATTATTATTATCAGAGAGATATTTCTCAAGACAATCAACAAAATGAAAAGTAGGACAAGGTGACTGATGACTTTTTTGTTAAGTTCCTCTCTTTCATGAGAGTGAGAGACAAAAGAGGGAGAGAAGAAATACAAGAACCCTCAACAGGGCACATGCTATGACCCCACCCCCGCCCCAGCCTTTTCAGCCAACCAGTATCACAGGCGCATATGTCTGGTGTATATGTACAGGTCGGCCAAGTAGCTGAAAACACAATCGTCCACATGGACCTAGTGTTACTCGCGCAGTGCTTTACTGCTGTGCCACCCAGCTGGCCTTGACTTTAAAGGAGATCATTTTCCTTCGGTGTGAATGGTCCACACCTAACTCAGTTCACAGCCACATCTGCTAACTTTGTTCTACATCCTTCTCTAGCCGTATCCAAGGGGTTCTCCTCCTCTTACACATAAATGTTGATAATCAAGAGTGCTGTTTGCTCCATCCTGGCTTCGAAGGTAACTGAAGAAATTGTCCAAACTTGCTGGAAGAGGGCTGATTTCAATGTCTAAAAATGTTAGGAGGCCCAAGAAGGCGAGATTGTCTCCACCTGGTATGACTGTGCTCTGTAACTGAGAAAGCAGGGAAATCAACACCTCACTCTGTTTTCTTTTCCTTTGCCTTGACTTTCCTTTGCTGTTTTCTCCACCCTGTGTTCTCTTCTTGGCAGGAAACTCAAGCCTTAGAAATCTCAGTCTATTCATAAATGCACTTCTTTCAGTTACTATGGCAATGCTGAAGGAATCTGTCACGGCCAAACAGGATCACAAAAGGATCACTTTTATTTTTATTCTTAATGTTTCCACCAACAAACAAATAAATAAAATGCTACAACTAGCCAGAGTCACATTTGCTTCTTAGGAAACAGTTCCCAAGGACTGACTCCCTGCCTTCTCTTTTTTCTTAATATTTTTCCTCTTATTTTATACAGAGTTTTGTTTGTTTTCCCAGACATTTCATTAGAAAGGACCACAGTGAGTGGCATTCTCTGAATCCAAAAGGTTTTTCCTTTACCTTCTGCTGTTATAAATGCAACATAAGGGTCGCAATTATTTTTTTAAAAGAAGCAGTATAGTTCCCTAAGATTATACTGTTAGAATTCATTTAATAAAAAACATAGGTTGCCAATGCTCATCTCCATGAACTACGGATAACTATCCTCTGAAAGCTGCTGTTTTGTCTATAGCTCTTATCTTTGTATTTCATTCTGACAGTTGGGAATAAAATAATTCAAAAGTCCTTATTTAAAGAAAGCAAAACAAGACAAACTTCCCGCCCTATCCTTAGGGCAGGGATGACAAGTTCGTTGACATCAAGATTAGCAGATGAGCATTCAGCCACTTTGCCAGTCATTGCTGCTGCATGGACTCGTGCAGCAACAGAACATTTGCTCTGAACAACCTACAGTCTGTCAAATTCCATAGCAGTTTCCAAGGCAATGATATGTTCTTGGTCTTTTCTTTATGGATTGCACAATGCTTTAGAAATTGCACAACAAAGAAGAGGGAAGCCCTTTGAACCCAGTGGGGGAAGATCCCCTGATTACCAGAAAGAGGTTATTTTGCAGATGGATTCAAATTCTTCCTGCTTCTTAGAAGAGGGCACCAACTCTATACCCTCTGGGTAAAGAAGTACCACTCAAATCTCTACCCTCAATGCACATTTCCAGAGAAGAGATTTTATTTGAAATTTTGCTGTCAGTTGAATAGCAATAACAGTTCTGTGTTTGGGGGTGAAAAAAGAGGGAAAATACTTAATATAGGTAGCTTTGATGGGATATGGGACCCCCCACTGGTCATGTTGTATATTTCAGCAATGTTACACACACAAATACAGGGCCCACATAGCAAAATAAAGAATGATGGTTGGGACCAGCAGATGGTGTAATGCTTATGTTGCTAAACTCCCACGCAGTCAACCAGGGTTCAAGTCCCAGACCTGGCAACTTAAAACTCACACTGGGCATATGTGTGTGAGTGCTCAAAATCCCAAAAGGAGAATGGAGGCGAAGGAACTGTGGTGTGGTCATTCCTCCAGGGGAGTGATTTCTCGGTTTCTGTCTATTTCTCTCATAAATAAATAAATAGATAGATAGATAAATAAATGGATTGGTGGGATGTACTTGGATTTGAATCCTAATATGATACTTATCTTCTATCACCTTGGATATGTTTAATTTCTATAAACATCAGCGTTCTTATCTGGAAAAAAAAAAAAAGAAGGAAAAAAAAGGGATAATAAGGGCCAGCTGGTGTCACAGTGTTAAAGGTGGACAGATTCCTCATGGCTGTCTGCATGGTTCCAGTTTCAGACCTGGTGGCTGGAAAAATGTGCTAGGCATGTGTGCTTGTGTGCCCCAAATCCCAAGATGAGAACAGAAGAGAAGGGACTGCAGTGTGGCCATACCCCCTGTGGGGGATGATTTCTCATTTTCCCTCTGTCTGTCTCTCACCATCTCTCTCCAACAAGCAGGTGCCCTATAGCAAAAAACTTCAAAAACAAAAAGACCCAGGGGAATAATATAATAGTACCTATAGCGTATGATGATTGTTGGAATTGAGTCAGAACTACATGTAAAGCACTTAGCATAGTGAAGTCCATTCTACCAATTGTTGGTTCTAAATAAATGTCAGTGATGATTTAGTGTTTTTGTTTGTGTATGTTTCAACAGGAGAAGGCATAGCTCTATTTTTCACATATGCATATATTTTATAAACTCATCATGTTCCACAAAATATTTTGAAATAATGGAAAGTAATTCCTTCCTTCTCCCTAGAATGGTATTAAAAGCGGTTAACAGAGTTTAGAAACAGCCCTTTGCCTCTTCACATGCCATGGGTATGTTTGGTAGGAGGTAGTACACTCATTTCATAGACTAGAAAAATGAAGTTACTGCTGATTCCACCTAAATAAACTAGAAATATGTATGAAAATAGTTTCCACGTAATATTTTTTTTGCATAAACACCAATATGCAATGTTACCCCCAATCAGAAACTGAATAACAAATCCATTCATGATTAGGGGAATAGGTATTTGATACATGTTTAATATAGAACCCTTGAGAAAATATCAGGCGTATGTTAGTAAAATACATGTAAAAATGTACGTTGCATATTTAATGTAACATACATTCATTAAATCTTTTACTCATGCAGCAGATATTTATTGCAAGTACCCCATGCCAGGTGCTGTGAGATACAGTGTCAGTGACAGAAACACACGCAAGCTCCCTCTTCTTTTCTCAAGGGACTTTCAGAAGTTCAGTGGAAGTATGAGGTATGTGTACATATGTTGGTCCAGGTCGAAAGTGGGAGAGCACGCTAAGAAAAGTGTGGAATGAGTGTAAGAATCAGTATGTGGGGAAGACAGGTGGTGGTGACTCAGTGGTAAAACACAATGCTCTGGAGGCCAACCTACGTGGAAAGGTTCCCAGTTCACACCCAGAAACCTCCCCAAGTATGCCAAGCCCACGCAAGTCCATAATCTGGGACTGGCTGAGGCTGGATCGTGGTGTTGGGGATATGGTCTCTCTCTCTCTTTCTTTCATTCATTCATTCATGGAAAAAATTAAATGAACTTCAAAAAAAAATTTTTACTTTTTTTTTTTTTTTGAGAGGTTTTTTGCTATTGGACACGTGCGCTCGTCAGAAAGACAGAGAGAGACAGAATGCGAGAAATCATCCCCCAGGGGGATAGCCATGCCACAATCTCTTCTCTTCCATTCTCCTCTCAGGATCTTGGGCACTCACCCACACATGCCTGGCGTGAATTTGAGCCTCCAGGTCTGGGAACCATGGTCGACTACATAGGAGTCCAGCGACATAGCCATTGC